TATTGAGTTGAATTACCAGCATTCTGACAGGATGTTGAGTTAAATTACTAGCATTCTGACAGGATGTTGAGTTAAATTACTAGCATTCTGACAGGATGTTGAGTTAAATTACCGGCATTCTGACAGGATATTGAGTTAAATTACCAGCATTCTGACAGGATGTTGAGTTAAATTACCGGCATTCTGACAGGATGTTGAGTTAAATTACCGGCATTCTGACAGGATATTGAGTTAAATTACCAGCATTCTGACAGGATATTGAGTTAAATTACCAGCATTCTGACAGGATATAGTAATCTACAATAATATTTTATTTAACTAATTTTGGTTCATTTTGAGAAAAAAACTTGCATAGATGCTGCTTTGATCCCATCTTTTAAGCTACAGTTATCTTACAAATATATCTTAACACAAAAACCTGGTACAGCTCAAAATAAGAGGTCTTTTTGAAGCATTACTTCTTTTCTATCATTTTCTTCTCATCAGATATTGAAGAAAATTACCATCCGTTTGCATGATGTGTGATATATGATGGGCAACCAATCAAATACAAGTTGAAAAGTTGTCTTTAATGGCAAGTATTCCATTACAGATGATTCAATTTTATGGTTGCATGCCTTAGCTACTTTTCAAATGCATGACGAATCGGGAGGTTCACTGCGCCTGGAATCATGTTGCCTGGGCAATGTGATGCAACTTAGAGCATTGGATATATGACAAACAAGAAACCAACTGAAATGATCAGATTGCTTATACATAGGCCAATGTATATTTCATATTATTACAAATCTTGTAGAATGAAAAAATACTGTGTGAAATCTGGGGAATGCAATGCATGTGTTACACACACAGATGATACACCACTGATAGTCATTATCTGACACAACCACAGAAGTCTCGAACATCTACTCATGAAGGTATTTACGGCTATTCATAAAAATCATAGTCTTTCTCAGGAAGGTCTCAGCATATTTAGATAACTATAAAAATTCTGATCAAAAAGTGTCATCACTTGTTTAAAAAATCCTGAAAAATCATAGTGTTTTCTATAATTGATCATAAAGGTGTGATTTACTGCTTGAAAATCCACAATTTTGTCTTACATATCTGATCAGAAAAATGACATCATTCATTTATAAATCCCTGTGAAACTTCAATGTTTTCTAGAACTGTCATAAAGGTGTGACCACCACTTGAAAATCCACTGTATGGCTTACAGATCTGATTAGGTGCCTTACAGATCTGATTAGGAAAAAACGTCATCATTGGTTTATAAATTCACTTAAAAAAACAAAAAAACAAATCGAGGTTTTCCAGTCCTGTAGGTGTGATACTTATAAGAAACAACAAGAAAAAGTATTTAAAATCTTATCATTATTGTGTAACCATTACTTGAAAATCTAGTGTGTGTCTTACAAATCTGATCAGGAAAACAGTCAGCAATACCTCAGACATTTAATTTCTTCTACATTTAATCAGGAATGTACTTAAACAGTCTTCACATTTGATTAAAAAGGTCTAAACACTCAAAATTATCTAGTTAATTGTCTCATACAACTTAGCTTATCTTAAAAAAATTTTAACAATAAAGAATTGTATGGAAAAAAATTAAAGTTTCAAAGAAAAAACATTAAAAATGTCAGATGATTCTAACATGAAAACTGTTTTAATGCATAATAAATAGAAATGTCTAAAAAATAAAAAAACAGATTTTTCAGCTTTAAAAAAAAAAAAAAGGCTATTTGTTTCTAAAAATCTATCTCGGGGTGATAAAAGATTAATATGACACAGAAAAAATTAACAGCAAGTCATACATACTGTTGAGTCTGACTGGAATACAGATATAGCATCTTCTGCCAAACTAATAATACTGGACAGAACAACATTTCCACCTGCGTCTTCAAGGGGAGAGCAAGCAACAGAATTTTCAACTTTCTTTTGCATTTTGGGTGTACGTTTCATGGAATTTGTATTCACTCCACAATCAAGTGATCCCTAAAGTTGCATCAAGATGGTTATAAACAAGATTCTTAAGAACACTAAGTACTACTTTGAAATCTATTTATATTAACTATGTGTAGTATCTACTGATAAGGAAATAAACGGTACAAAACTTTATAGCAGCTTATCAATACGTTTTGATTTGTAAAACAATTCACAACTCAAATATAAAAAAACACACACACAATGTAAACACTAGTTATTAAACTGATAATAGTGAGTAACACTAAAGTTTAAATAAATTGTCTTGAAAATAAGGTAACTTTCTTTTTATACCTTTTATCCCTCTTTATTAGCTATATTTTTATGCACCGGCAATACTAAGCATGGGGTGGTCATTTACCCGATTTGATTTTATCACTCATCAGGATCTCTACCAACCTACCCTCAAATTGAAAATCTTTTAGGCAGGACTAGAGTAAATTAATCCATGCAGACCTTGGGGACGGTTTGTTTGTTTGAATTTTGTGGAAAGCTACACTAGGGCTATCTGGACTAGCCGTCGATAATTTACCAATGTAAGAATAGAGGAAAAAACACCCACTGCCAACTCTTGGGCTACTCTTTTACCAATGAATAGTGGGACTGACCATCACATTACAATGCCTCCATGGCTGAAAGGTCGAACATGTTTGGTGGGACAGAGAATCCAACACGCAACCCTCAGATTGCGAGTTGAGTGCCCTAACCATCTGGCCATGCCAGGCCCCTTGGGGATGGTCAAATACAATCGAAAGGTTTCGACCTCCTCAGTTAAAAACTGTAAATAGATCTCAAAGTGATCAAGAGAAGACGGAGATATAAGCTAAAAGTTTGTACTTGAAAAAAAATTCAGAGCCATTCCATGAGTCGCTATGTTGTGGCTAAAAATAAACATCATTATTTTAATATAAATCTTGAAACTGACAGATTTAATTCAATCAATATGTTTTATAATTAGATGATAGAAAATACCTGATAATCAATATAGTCATTCCATGTTTTCCACCATTCCATAGATATTAAATACCAGAACTGTCCAATCTGCATTCCTCTGTTCACTTCCCTATCTAGCCACTCCCTACAAGACAAAATCAAACTGATTTTACCAACTCCCTACAAACACCACCAAACTTATATTGAACTTCACAGCAGTTTGATGCAACTCTCCTGTCAATTCTTATGCTAAAGGCTTTACCCACCCACTCCATTCTAAGCTAGCATAGGTGTGTTAAATTAGAAGAGCAGGAAAAAAAAAGTAACATGAATCAAAAGAAAATTATGAGTACAATGATAAAAAATTTGCACTTGGTTACTACCAACTTCGCACGGAACATTTTACACCGCCATTTTGTATTTTTTTTCAACAATGTGTAGTAATAACAATGTTAAAAAGACATAGCATATCTTTTAATTTGGCTCATTTCTGTGGGTGGGATTAATTTTGATGCATATAATTAACCTTCGATTAAATCAAAATAGAACAATGTTAATCATGTCTCATTTGAAAGGGGTGGGGTTTGGTTTCTTCTACCTTTAAACTCTATAACTAGCAGAATTCAAAGGACAACACTGCTACTCAGATTTTAAATCAAGTCTCATTTATATAGGGAACAAAACTTTTGAGAAATAACAAGATGTTAGTTTCTCATGTATTGAAATGATTTTCAAGCAAAATTATATACTTCACAAAATACAATATTTAAATTTAAAAGTTGGGAACTTTGTAGAATTATATAGTTTTTATGTGAAGTGGGTTCATTTCTTTTACATTTAAACAAAATACATCTTAAACTACAAGAGTATTGCTAATTCAATCATTGCTAGTTTTAAAAGTTCACATATTGCAACTTATGAATATGTGTATGTGTGTAAAAGTACACATTAAAATAAAACGTTTTTATCTGTTACCTAAAAATGTAGTTTCGTACTTTGTTAAAATATTCACAATATGCAACTGCTAGCTAAGAACTGGGTGATTATTGAAATTTGCTAATCAATTAATTGTTTAACTTATTAATCAGCTACCTTTAACTAATCAATTATTCTCACATGAGACTTAGTTTGAATAATCAAAAATAGCAGAAATCAGAAATAATAATTTTGATAAGTTGATTATTTTCATGATATGAAGCACTTTATTTGTAATTCCAGTTAACTGATTACTGTATGCGACACTAATCATTGTAACTGGTCTTAACTGATTACCGTATACGACACTAATCATTGTAACTGGCTGATTAATGTCACATACAGTAATCAGTTAACACCAATTACATTGATTAATGTCACATACAGTAATCAGTTAACACCAATTATATTGATTAGTGTCACATACGGTAATCAGTTAACACCAACTACATTGATTAGTGTCACATACGGTAATCAGTTAACACCAACTACATTGATTAGTGTCACATACGGTAATCAGTTAACACCAACTACATTGATTAGTGTCACATACGGTAATCAGTTAACACCAACTACATTGATTAGTGTCACATACGGTAATCAGTTAACACCAATTACAGTGATTAGTGTCGCATACGGTAATCGGTTAACACCAGTTACAATGATTAGTGTCGCATACGGTAATCGGTTAACACCAGTTACAATGATTAGTGTCGCTTACGGTAATCGGTTAACACCAGTTACAATGATTAGTGTCGCTTACGGTAATCGGTTAACATCAATTACAATGATTAGTGTCACATACGGTAATCGGTTAACACCAATTACAATGATTAGTGTCGTATATGGTAATAAGTTAACACCAATTACAATGATTAGTGTCGCATACGGTAATCAGTTAACACCAAATACATTGATTAGTGTCGCATACGGTAATCAGTTAACACCAATTACATTGATTAGTGTCGCATACGGTAATCAGTTAACACCAATTACATTGATTAGTGTCGCATACGGTAATCAGTTAACACCAGTTACAATGATTAGTGTCGTATACGGTAATCAGTTAACACCAGTTACAATGATTAGTGTCGTATACGGTAATCAGTTAACAACATACAGTAATCAGTTAACACCAATTACACTGATTAGTGTCACATACAGTAATCAGTTAACACCAATTACACTGATTAATGTCACATACAGTAATCAGTTAACACCAATTACAGGACACTAATCATAGTAATTGGTGTTAACTGATTACTGTATGCGACACTAATCATAGTAATTGGTGTTAACTGATTACCGTATGCGACACTAATCAATGTAATTCCAGTTAACTGATTACCGTATGCGACACTAATCAGTGTAATTCCAGTTAACTGATTACTGTATGCGACACTAATCAATGTAATTCCAGTTAACTGATTACTGTATGCGACACTAATCAATGTAATTCCAGTTAACTGATTACCGTATGCGACACTAATCAATGTAATTCCAGTTAACTGATTACCGTATGCGACACTAATCAATGTA